GTACCAGATTAAGCGAGTACTAACTTCATTTTCAGAATGTTATTAATAAACATGGACTAAGCTCAGACTAACTAAACTTTCCTTAGTCCTAGGTACAACAAGTTTAAGTGGCAACCATTGCGAAAAAGAAGAAAAATGGAGAGAATTTTGTGAAAAACAAGAAAAATATTTGAAAATTTGACAATTAGCATAAGTTGGAGCACGTAGAGCATAGAGAAAATAGTAGAGTTAATTTTAGTTGGACTGTTCTGAGAAAGTTTGTTTATATTTTATAGTATTTTTTTATCTGAAAAGTTTAAATTTCATAAAAGTTCAGGAGGAAACTTTAAAAAATATTTTATTACAAAGGGAAAATATAAAAAATACTAATAAACATAATAATTATTAAATAAATTTTATATATTTTAATATGTCTTAGATGAATAGTATTTCACTGATTTTTATGGTCATTAAGTTGTTCTATTAATCTTCAGTCGTTAATAAAATAATCTTCCATTATTAAATAATGTATATGAATAATCAAAAACAATTCAGGTTATGAATACCAAAACAAAACTGCACTCAATGTCAATTGTCAAGTTAGTCACTCTCTAAACCTGCCACTACCTCGAATTAAATGTTAGTCCGAGACTAGCCAAGGTTTAGCTTAGTTTGTCCTTAGTGGCTGATTATTAATACGAAAAATGAATGTTATTAGTCCTGGGACTAATGTTAGTCCAAGGTTAGTCCGTGTTTATTAATAAGGAATTAAAGGTATAAAACTCATTCCCCAATTTGATCTCTACTTAAGTATAGGTCATTATAGTGTACTCAAAATATATCATAAAAAAGCTATGTCGCACCCTCAGTGCAAGACTGGAGTAACTCAAAATTTTATGAAAATGAAGTAATCATGGAATGATTAACTGGCTGAATAATATAACAACAACAGTTTAACTATTGTGCGTTTTTGTACATATGTTCCGTGCAAAACTGTTGTAATTCTAATGTAAAAGAGTTACAACAGTTTTGCATGAAACATTGCAATGGTTTCGATAACAACCAATGAAAGGCACGAAAAAAGTAACATATTTGTTATTTTAATATCTATATCTGTGGTGATAAGTTTTAATATACAGCGTGTCTACGTAATCCATTAACGGCCGAGACAATAAACAAATATTTACGAGACCAATCTATTCACGTAAGTTTTATATCTTTTGTGTGACATTATGTTTTCCATAAAATGTGTGCGATGTTATTTGACCATTTATTTATAAGATTGGATTAAAAACAAATAAATTAAGACTTATTATTTACAGCCAAAAACTATTTTTTCTTATCAACAGAAAAATAGTTATCTTAAAACTTGTGTATTAACAATACTGACAGGTTAAAAATATTTATTCCCAGAAAACGTGTTCTATAATATCCCCAATTGTATTTAATCTTCATGTAACCTTCCGAGGCGATTCTCTTATCCTATTGTCCCCCCGCAAATCCCAACTTTTACTAACGTAGTAAATTTCAATAATTTTGTTAATCACTGTATTCAAGGTAGCCTGATTTGCATATTTTTATTATAGTCCTTTGGTTTTGAATTTAAATAAAAATATTGAAAGTTTTACAAATAATTTTTTGTTATTACATTGTCATTACAAAGCGAAGGAATTGTGGCTATCAGAATCATGCGCAGAGATAGAAAGATTAAATTGCCGCTAGCGATAAGCCGTTTTATTAGGTACCTTTTTATTCTAGGTACCTATCTGATATCTTGGAATCTATTAAGTGTATATACCAAACCCCAGAAATTACTTTTTCTTTATCTATCAGGTAATTTGTGGGAATCCATTAAATGTAATGTTTAGTACTATTCCTATCGTTTTTGGAGATTACTTTCTCTGTATCTACCCTGATTAACTCATTAGAAACCAGTTTTCAGGGAATAAGTACGAGTAGGTACATTTTAGAAGTGTAGTTTTTATTATAATCTGTTAATAGCCCTTGCAAGTGATAGATGCAGAATTAACGATTTTGAAAATGTCAAAATTTAATAGTTCCTGAACATTGAGGATTTTATCCTTATGTGCGTCGACAAGTGAGGATAGCAACGACATGCAGAGTAAGTTGAATTTAAGTTATTTGTTGTATTCTAATGTACGAGAAGTGCAACTTAAACCTACCTAAACAGAACAGCTAAAAATTCAAATGACCAAAAAAAAAAGATTTTGTATACTTACGCCATTCGGGTATGATACCAGAAGCTCACCATAGTTTTTATAAAGATATTTTAGACCAAGATGATACACGAGAAGAGGACAACAACTAACACTCTGTTACACTTTTGTGTAACACAGTGAGAAAATGTGTCTACACTTTTTACAATTTTCTCCGTGCAAAAGTGTTGTAACTTTGATATTCCTAATTTTTTTAGTATTTATATTATTTTATTTAAATTTCTATTTTTGGTTAATGTAATATAGGCTAAAAAGCATGACAAATCATAATTAAATGTTAATTTTTCTTAAAACTTATGTCTTATTTTACCAATATTAACACGGAAATAAACAAACTCGTCTTTATCTCGAAACTTACTTATTCTGACTTGCTGCAGTCTTAAACTGAGGCAAAGGAAACTTCTGGCGTCCTCCTCCACAGCATCATCCCATTACTTTCTCAGTCTTCCAATAAATCTCTTCCTCTGCTTTGCAGTCAACAGTTTTTTTGAAAGCCCCTTTTTTCTCAACAACCAAGTTTCACAGACATAGCCTACTATCAGTCGTATAATGGTCTTGTAAATTCGTAACTTAGTTCTTAGATGTACATCTCGTGATTTAAATATTGGGCTTATAGAAATATTTTCTGTATTGGCTAATAATTTTTCTACTAATCTCTGCATCGTAAATGTTGTTTTCTGTGAAGTTGTCTCTTAAATAGATAAAGCTATCCACTTTTTCCAAGTTGTCCACTATCACATAGAGGCTTGTTGCCCTCTCCGATTGACTTTGTACTAGGATTTTAGTCTTTCTTGGTTTATTATTAGATCTATTTGTTTACCATGTGATTTAACTTTCGTATACGGTTATTCTCACCTATTAATTTGATTCTGCTTATGATATTTTTGTCCTCAGCATATTCTGCCAGTTAGACTGATTTATTGATAAGTGTGATGTTTTTTATTAAAGCAAATAATATTTACCAGACTTTTAGGTTTAGCTCCTACTGTCATACATTGAAAGTATACAACTCATTCACCAATTTTATCTCTACTGAAATGTAGGCTACTGTAGTTGACATAATACATCATAGGCAAACCCATCAATATTTATGGGTTAATAGTTTCTAACAATTTAGAAGATTATGCGTTGCTATATCAATACATAAGCAGTTTAAAAATAATAATGTGTAACAATAATTTATAAAGACCAATGTATACCAAAACTTATACATAAACGAAGAAAAAAAAATAAATATTAAAAAAACAATAAATAAATAAATTGAAATAGATAAAAATAAATAAATAAAATATATTAAAAAAATCAAAAGGACATATAAAATAAAATATTAAAAAACATTATATTATTTAAAAAAATAATAATAAACTATTAATATAAAAAAATACACAAAAAAATATTGAAAATATGGAAAAAACGAAAAGAACAAAAACAAAATAAACAAAAAAATTAAATTAAAAAAAAAACACTGCTTGCGGAACTGAATATTACTGGAAAATTATAACTACTGGATGCATGAATAAGAGACTGGATACTATTAGAAAATTGTATACAAAATTGTATAAAAAATATATAATTTTTATAAGTTCACCAATTATATTATAATGTAGAATTTTTTATCGTAGTTACATTGTTTTTAAAATATTAATTATGTAAATTGTTAATATTAACAGATTTAATTTTAATTATTGTCTTAAGAATCAAAGTCATACATGATTAGGCGAATGAAACCATAGGTTTCGCAGTCAATATCCCAGCCACACACACACCATAGGAAAAGCTACATTCCTGAATTCTGTGTGGCAACTAACGGCTAAATATTCCTAATCAAAGACGCGTTGCAACACCTCTAATTTTCTGGGAAAACTTTATCATTTATGTGTATTTACGTATCAGCGTTTGAAGCAATAAACAATGTGAACATTTCCACTACAACAGGTATACCAATATCAGATACTAAAATTTTATTCAGTGCGCATGTAAATGAAATCTGGCAAGAAATATGGGATCAGACAAACACAAATCCTGAAAGCATCAAACCAGACGTATCTTCAAAAAATCTTCCTATACCACCAAAACGAAAAGACCAGGTAATTATCAGCAGACTCTGGCTTGGGCATACGTGACTTACGCACGGCTACATTATCTCCAAAGAACCACTACCAATGTGCCAAAGTTGCCAAACACCTTTCACAGTTAACCATATAATAATAGAATGTCCAGAGCACACTTCAGCTAAGACGATGTTCAAGATACCCAACAGCCTGAAAAAACTGCTTTTGGCACAAAATTCAATAAAGTTCTCTCTTTTTTAAATTACTGAACATTCTATAATAAATTATGATTTAATTGTTACATATACATACATGTACATTGTACCATATTGTTGTACGTCATAACTTTTAAAATGTATCTTATTTTTTCTATTTGTATTATGAACCTACCGCTAATAACCCCAGTGGTTGATGTGGAAAAAATAAAAAAAACATTAATGTTTTAAATAATCGTTGGATTCGACCGTTACTTGATGGAAATTCATTGTATGTAACAATAAAACACCTGAAAACAAAGTTTTCAGTTACACTTATGTTTTAATAATGTGTCCAAACAGTAATAATATTATTATTTACAGTTCTATTAAAATACCTTACCACAACGAGTTTTTTTTTTCATACCGAATTAAGAAAGTCTTTCGTGGTATCATTGTAAACTAAATAACCATGTATCTTTTTGTTAAAAAGTGCCATTCTATACAACTGAAAACTTAAGTCTTTATTTTCTTTTCAGTCTTGCTATGGCCGTGATTTTGGCAGCAAATGAACAAATTTCCAGATCAACGTCGAAGTCTCCGCTATCGACAAACATCGTTTATGAGGATATCAACACCTTCCTTCGCAACACTCACATGCAAATTTCTTTTGTCGTGACCTCTTCAACGGACATTGCCATCGAAGACATTAGAGAAGATATGGAGGGTAAAATTTACTGCTGTATTACTTGCAATTTATGAGTAAAAATACAGGGTTTTAAAATGTTTTTCTATGTTTTTTGGTATATAAACATTTAAAGTTTTGGAATAGAGAATGATTTGTAGGGATAGGATTTTAGCTGCGAATTCGATAAAAGGAAATATTGATTTTCTCTTGATAACTAAAGTGGATGTTTATTAATAATACTATATAATATGTTACGTTTTTCTGTGGCTTCTGATATTAAATTAAGCACAACGTGGTTCAGTTAATTTTAATAACATATATTAATAATTTTATAAATTTGTTAATTCACAAACTCACTTAATTACAAATATTACAATTACTACTTATAACAAAAACTATCGGTTACAAAACAAATCGCATGGATACGTATTAAAGTATTATCGCCAATAGTAATCTAATCTAAGTCTGCCTTGCTGGGTTGATGTGGATTTTATATTGAAAACCAAATGTTTTCGAAACAGCTACCGGGTTATTGTGAAATCCATCCAAAAATCTGAAATTCTAAAAGGTGTTCATTATTAGTTACAGTTAGCATTGAAGAGGCTTCTCTAGTTTCTCTAGAGACACACACCGAGAACACACAGAGCCGTAATCACGAGTCTGCAACTCACAACATCTGCTCTTCTTTCATGCTGTTCACCATGAACATTACCTAAATTGACCAGATCGGTAAATTTTGCCCTACACAAGGACACAGTCCCTTTAGGTGTACGACCTCAGGCTTACTTAGTGGCGTCAGTAGCACTCTATATACAAGATCGTTTATCTTCTTAGTACCAAGTACGGTTACTCCTAGGGTCGCTGCAAGTTAAGACTCAGACATTTCCTTCTCTTTGGTTAGTAGAACCAGACTGCATCACCTTATATAAAGCTATCGGAAGTAGGTTTTGCCGAGACAAAAGACAATCTACAAAGATTAACACACATCTTCAATATAACAGCTAAGAAAGACAATATGATAATATTATCAGAAAAAAACAAAATATATGACAAAATCTAAATACCTACTATGATGTTAAATTGAAATTGATGGGAAAATTATAAAGCAGGAAGCAAGCCAGCAAGGCTTAAAAGCAAGTAAAGCGGCGGGATCTCTTAATGACACAATCTGGAAGAACAAATACCTAAGACAAGACACAAAAACAAGAATTTATAAAGCAGCAATTAGACCTCTATTTACATAAACTGCGGAGACAAGACCTGATACATCTAAAACTAGACGACTATTAGAAATAACAGAGATGAAAATACTTCGACCAATACCAGAAATTTGTCTCTTAGATAAGGAGAGAAGCAAAAACATAAGAAGAGTATGCAATATAGAAGACATAAATGGATGGGTGACAAAACGGAAACAGAAGTGGAACGAACACATTAGTAGAATAGCAACCGATAAGATAGTACAGATAACACGAGATAAGTTACCAAATGGACGAAGAAGTATTGGCACACCAAAAAAAATGGTGTGATAATTTAAACAATTAAGGAGGCTAATATTAAAGATCTTCAACTTATTATGATGGGTAAAATCGAAGGACGCAGAGGAATTAATAGAAAGCAGGCCTTTTGATTGAAGAATATCAGGGAGTGGACAGGAATAAAGAAAGCTGAGCAACTATTTAGAATAGCTCGAGACAGAGACAGTTTCGCCATGTTAATCGCCAACGTCAAGGGGACTTGATAGGGCACGTTAAGAAGAAGAATATTAAAGAAGAAATGGGTTTTAAAGTGTACATACAAGAAGAAAGAAGAAGAAGAAGAAGGAAATACATTTCTGATCGAAACCTACCTTTATCCCATTACTGATGCGTTAAAGCTTATTTCTGGTGAAAATTTTGGACCTTATTAGTCTATGCTTTAGGCCGCTGACATACTCTGTGAGTAACTTTTGGTCCACCTCTCTGTCCGGTAGATTGCACTTAGCCAATTGCATTGGAGTGTAACCAGTTGATTCTTGTTGAAAGTTTCTGTAGGTTAGTAGGCACTAGTTTGTCTTGTATTTCTGGTGGTACAAACAGGAACAGGTAATTGGTCCGCTTATGCCCTTCTATTATGCCTTCCGACTGAGGATAAATCGATGTCACCTGGTCTTCTTAATTCCCAGCAAAGCTATCGTAATTTTTAAAATTTCCGATTCGAAGCTAAGCCCCAGGTCAAATTAAAGTAGAAGTGAAAGCTTATGTCGAGTAACGACATTCTTAAGCATGGCCTCACTAACTGTAATTGCTACTTGGTTGGGTAGCGCATGCCTTACAGAACGGCGGATGTGTTATATATTTTTTATCTTGTCTCTCATGTAAGTTCTTTTCCTTGCAGTATTGGGACTAACGCATTGTGTAAATTATTTGATTTATTTGCACTATTTGCATTTTTTTGTCGTTAGTAATTATATTTTCCAGGTATTCGTAAGTTCTAACAAATTATAAAACCAAAGAGCATATTGATGGACAACAAAGATAGAAAACCAAATAAAAGGAAAAAAGAGAGCACACTTAAAGTGGCTGGCCACAGAAGATCAACGAGACAAGAGAATACAGAAGGTAAGCTTATGAAACAAAAAAAAAAAAAAAATAAAAAGCATAAAAACAAATTTTGTCAAGACAATATAGATAGCCTAATGGAAAGTCCAGATGTAAATGAGACATGGAAAACGCTGACAAACATCAGACAGAATATTTACAAAAGGGTAAAGATAAAACCAATACAAATAAACAAATGGGTAAAATATTACTCAGATTTATTACAAGAAAAAAGAGATCGATATACTCCCCAAATATAAATACGGAATACGGTACAGACAAATACAAGTTGCAGATGTATCTAAAGGCAAAATAAGAAGTGCACCAAAAAGTATAAAATGTAATAGAGCAACTAGCCCTAGGGACATATCTGCAGAACTGTTAAAACAAGGCCCATTGTCCGTAATATAAGACTATAACACACAATTTAGCACATGCTTATTTGATGAAAAAATACCGAAGGAATATAAAATGGGCTATTTAAGCGTCATAAATAAAGAGGGAATCAAAAGCAATCCCAATAATTATAGGAGAATATGCATCACACTTTCTATGGGTAAGTTGTATGGGAAAATAAAAAAGAAAGGATGAAAAAATAGCTGCGAACTTCAGAAGAACATAGTAACATGAACTGATAATATGTTTTTATAAAATAGCCCACAGAATAAACAATATCATTTAAAGCTGAATTTTAAGTTTTATACATGGAACTTTGAAAGGCCTAGAATAGTGTCACAGTTAACAATCTGTGGAAAGCAATGGAAAATCACACAACGAGAGATAAGAGAATACAGAAGGTAAACTTATTAAACAAAAAAGGAATAAAAAGCATAAAAACAAATTTTGGCAAAAAAAAAATATAGATAGCTTAATAGGAAGTCCAGAAGTATAGTAGGCATGGAAAAAGTTTAAAGTCAATAAAAGACTTCGACAAGGATGCTTCCTGTAACCAACCTGATTTAAACTTTATGTAAATCACATACTAAAATATAGAACAAGAAGAGTGGGCAGATAAGACTAAAAATTGACGACTTTTTGGGATATTAAAACTATATCCCTATCCTTTTATTTGATGATGATCGAATCATTTTAGTACAAGACACAGACGACATTGTCTAAATGATAAAAAGTTAAAAGAAGAATTTCGAAGCTGTGACTTAAAAATTAATTATGATAATGTTCTGAAGCTATTTTCTTGTAGGTTTTAAAGTAACCTCTATTTAAACGGAAATAAGCCACAGTTAAAAGTAAAAGTCAGTTTATTGACGTTTCAATTTCCGAAGTGAGAATTTTCTTCTAAAATCGTCAGGCCATCGAGTAGGTGGTCGACCGACACTTCTCTTGTCTCTCCATTGCAATAACCTCTTCGTTCATTGGCTATTCGTCATTCTAGCTATGTGTCCTGCCCATCTTTATTTTACTATGGCTACCCTTTCGATGACGTCAGTAACCTTGGTCCTTCTCCTGACCACTTCGCTTTTATTTTGTATCGCAAAGTTAGTCTCGAGTTATTCCTAACATGGATCGCTCCATTCTTCTCCGTGTTACCCTTAGTTTGGCAGCGGAAGCTTTTTTTAGTTAAGTTTTTCTGCTCTGTACGTCAACACTGGGAGGATACATGGATCAAATACTCTTCTCTTTAGGCATGTGGTCAGCTCACTTTTAAAAGTTTCTCCTTTACTTGTGTTTATTTTATCTTTTATATTCTGGTTGTACTGCTAAGTTTCTCTTCGTTTTTTATTTTTGGACAATGTTTTTTGTTTTATTTTTTCGGATAGATTTTGTAATGCATTTATTGATAATATTTATATCTTTGGTGGGTGGTGTCGTTGTATTTAATTTTAATTTGGTCTCAATGTTTTGTTGGTATATTTTGATATCATTGGGCTGTGTCCATGTATATATTTCATTTTTTCTCAATAATCGATGTAGTTTCTTATCTAGATATATTTCAACTAAAGCTTGTAGTACCTCTAGGAAGCTAAAATAGTGACAGCATACCTTAAAAATAGCCAAACAAAATAATGCATTTTAACATCTACGCTAAAACATTATCGCAAAACGTATCAAAGAAGCAGAATATCACATAAAAAATGTTGTTCTAAAGCTATTTTCTTGTGGCATCTTAAAACAATTACTATTTTTATAAAAATAAGCCTCATTGAAGTTAAAAAAAAAATATATTGACGTTTCTATTTCCACTTCGGAAATCGTTCTCAAAATACAAATGTTAATAAATTATTAATGGATTCGACCGTTACTTGATGGAAATTCATTTTATGTAACAATAAAATACTAAAAACTTTGTTTTCAAACTTCCACAAAATTTATTTTAAATTTATTTTTTAGATTTAAAAACTATCGGACTTAAAAACAAACATTTTACAAAACAAACATACACATAATTCGTCATTTCATCCCACACAACATAAACTGGCAGCCTATCATGATGTGTGTCAT